GAGAGAGAGAGAGAGAGAGAGAGAGAGAGAAAGAGAGAAAGAGAGAAAGAGAGAAAGAGAGAAAGAGAGAGAGAGAATGAGAGAGATAGCTGAGAGATTGAAAGAGAATGGAAGAGAGCGGGAGAAGAGAGAGAGAGAGAGAGAGAGAGAGAGAGAGAGAGAGAGAGAGAGAGAGAGAGAGAGAGAGAGAGAGAGAGAGAGAGAGAGAGAGAGAGAGAGAGAGAGAGAGAGAGAGAGAGAGAGAGAGGGAGAGAGAGAGAGAGAGAGAGAGATAGAGAGAGCACGAGCGATGGCAGCGGAAAAGAGTGTAGTTGAATTAAATAACGGCTCAGTGCCGAGGTCCGAGTCATGGCGGAGCGCGATGTTGACCATGGGCCTTCTCGTGCGACACAAGTCTTGGAGCAAGCCGAGATTGAGCATGGGCGCCTGGCCGAGCAATGCCGGCGTCTTGACCATGGAGGTCCATCAGACTGCACATGGTGGCTGGCAGGCCCGGGGGTGGAACATTGGGCAGACTAAATTGGGCATGGCAATTTTTTTGAAACTTAACTGAACGGCCCCTGGCATAGGTCCTTCCTGTGACCGCCGAGAGGCTTCATTGGGTGCAGGTGTGTATATTCGATGAGTGGTCCGTCCAGCCTGCCTCGGCGATAAGTCCTTTGGAACATTCGGTCCGAACAAAGGACACATCCGAGCACGAGGTCCCTCTTTTGTGGCCAAGTGGGTCTGAGAAAGACATTCTGGAGTATTGCGCCGAGAGGCGGTTCCCGAATGTATCGATGACGGTCCTGAAACTGCTGTTGAAGGAGGAGTTCGGGCAGGACATGGGTTCCTCGGATGAGTCTTTGGTGGGGGACCTTCTCCTGTCAGGAATCAAATGCGTGTTGGGTCCATCCGATGAGAAAGCGGCGGATGCGCTGGAGCTCGCATTGCATGAGCGTGAAAAAGACGATGCAGAGCTTTTGGACCTTCTCCAGAACCCCCTGTTCAACGAGGTCCTTCAGTCAAAGCAGGACCAACAAAAACTGGAGCAGGCAATCAAGGAAGCCCAGGCCAGTCAGAGGCAGGTCCTCTCAATCACAAGGTCCATCCAGCGGCTGCGGCCTGCTGGGAAGAAGAAGGTCAAGCGCAAGGCTGTCCGGTTCCCGGGAGATGAAGCATGGCCTGCTGAGGTTCTTCAGCGTTTCGCACCTGCCGAGTACCGCATGTACAGGGACGAGTTCAACAAATGCATCAGGGCCTTCCATAAAAGCTACAATTGGAGTCTATCGAGGTCGTGGGGCAGATGTGGCAAAGAAAGCGTTCCAGCACGGTTGGTGCTTCGCGGCGTATGGACACGCCATGAGGCACTTCATCCGAACGACCCCTGCCCCTGGGACTTTCTTGATGATTGAAATTCGAGCGCCAGGGTCCATCCAGTAGGCCCTCGACGAGATTCATAAAAGTTAGTATAGTAGAGTAACGTTTAGTATCCTGAATTTGTACTGTCACTGATCAGTTCCGTCTTACTGTGTGGGGCCATCCGGCAGTCTGCCGCTATTGAAAAGTGTTTCAATTTGGAGCCGGCCTTCGAACTTCAAGAGGCCAGGAAAAAAAGTACCGTGCGTGGTCAGCGCAGACGAGGTGATGATGTAATGTAGAACTGCAGCAGGACCCACGCCAAGCCCACAGACGATGAAGAAACACATATATATATATATACATTTATATGTAGAATTCATAATAATAAGTTAAAGGTCAACTTGGAAACCTTACCTCGTGTTCTCCGCCGGCAGGTCCTTCGAACCCGCCTCCGAACTCCGCCACGGACTCAGCTATGGTTCTTCTCATCGTTTCCAGTCTGATGTATGCAACTGCTTATCAAATTTAGGGATCCTTTAATGCGAGCGTGCCCTTCTCGCAGGTTCTTCCCCCGATGAATCGTCGCAGAAGGACATGGTTCTGCTGACTGCTGGCAGCTGAGATAAATGACGAAGATTGTTTCAAGCCGGAGCGGAAATCTGCGAAGCGCAGGTCTTTCATTGAAATCTTACTGCGCGCAGCTCTCGTGATCAAGCCTTCGTCCCTCGAAGTCAACTAACTGTCTGTGAGTAGTTGAACCGGTGGTCCTTCAGTGAGCAATGCCGAAGGCGATGAAGAAAGGTGTTGCGAGCAAGAAGATGGAGAAGAAGGTCCTTCTTAAGGAGGCCGCCGCGAAGAAGAATCTTCGCTGCGCAGCGAAGACGACGATGGCTGAGGGGGAGGAGGCCACGCTGGAAGAGATGATCCAATGGCTGCGGGCCCATCCAGCGCAGTGCTCCTCAATGTTGGCGTCCGTCAAGAAAGGGGTGTGGGATGGTTCCTCCAGCGACGACGAGGATGAGGACAGACTGGCTCCCTACATGAACAAGATCAGGCTCATCTCCAAGCCCAAGCTCTTGGACATCCTCTCCGACTTGCTCCCGCAGGCCCATCAATGGCTGAAGGTCCTTCCCCGAAAGACGAAGAAGGAGGAGCTGGCAGCGATCCTTGCGTTCCTTGTGCACATGAGTCCAACATCGGCCCTTCCGACAAAGATTTTGAGCCGGCTCCTCGAAGAGTTCAAGGAAAGATGGGCTGATTTTGGCAAGCGTGCCAAAGACTGGAGGCCCATCAGCGACAAGGTCCAGGACTGGAGTTACGTGACATGCATGGGCACTGACAGTCTGACAGACTAAATTATAAATGGCGAGTTTTCTTGTTACAGTTAAGTAATGATGAATCAAGTTGTCCTTCTGCTTTGTTGATGTGATCACGGTTAAGTAGCAACAGCAGGAGTTCTGGGACCATCATGCCTATTGGTCCATCGACATCAACTCGGACGCGACTGAGGGGTTCCTCTGCTACGGAGCTGGCGTCGACCCGACAGACAAGAAGAACAGGGTGGCTCTTCCTTCGGAGATTGTCTCTCATGCCACAACTGTGGAAAATGCGGGTTCCTTTGATGGTGCGATCATCAAGAAGGGGGCTTTGATGAGGAATGTGGTCCATCTGCTTTCGGAACTGGGCGAAGCGAACCGTTGGGTCCGTCCATTGTTCTTGAAGGAGGTCCCTGGTGGAGATGGGCAGCTCGGGAAGACGAAGAAGGCCCCTCCCGCTGAGGCGAGCAAGATCCGCAAGAAACGTGATGCTGACGGTGACGCCTTGCTCACGCCGCCCAGGAGGGTCCGGCAGAAGGGCAGCTCCGCGTCGAGCCCTTTGTCCTCAAAGGCCAGTAGCCATGCCTCACCGTCCCCGCACAAGATCAAGAAGAGGTTTGAGTCGCCGTCCATCAGCAAGAGTCGAGGCAAGCCATCAAAGATGCCCACTCCACCCAAAGGCAAGGGCGGTGTGCTGGATGTTGACGGCTCTTCCCGTTCCCCAAGCAAGCCCGCCAAGACCGGCTCCTCCCCAGCCAAGTCGAAGCCGAAGACCGGCTCCTCTCCTCTCAAGGAGGCTGCGAATAATAAGCAGCCGGGCTGCGTCACAGTGGACTAGTTTCCAGTGGTTTGTCATTTTGTCCTTCAGATTCATCCTCGCAGGTGTTATTGAATCAACCGAATTGTTAATATAATATTCTGAGTAGAGATCACATCTCCGGAGTAGGGTGGCCTGAGGACAAAGACATTTTGGCAGAGGACCTTCGCTTCACTTCAGTCAGTGCACGCGAGCGCTCCAGAGAACAAAAGCTAGGCATTGCATTCAGTCACTTTCTGGAAGCACACCATTGAAGTGTCACAGCTGGATGTTCTTGTGACGCTGAGGCACGGTCACCGACTCGCTGGGCCCGTCCGGGCGCCCGTGCCAGTGAGCCAGCAGTTTTGAGTCAGAGGTTTATCTTTGTTGCGCTGCTCTTGCTTTGTATTTGCTGGCAGCTTTCAGCGATTCTGTTTTGGCTTATTCAAAGGTTTCACTTCAATGCAGGAAGTACAGTAGTACAGTACAGACAGAGTCATTTTTTAATATTTTCTAATAAAAGTACATAATAGCTGAGTGCCATACTTCTTGACTTGAGGTTTTTCTTAGCCAGCCTAGTCCAGTGTCGGCGCACTGACTATTAAAATGGATGATGAGGATGATGATGAGTCAGAAGATGAGGCGGTGGTTCCTCAAGACTCCACCCAAGGCCAAAGCCAAGGTCCGCAAGAACGTGTCGAAGTATGACTCAGAAATCGCGGACCTTCCTCCTGCTGAGCGCCGAAAAGCCTTGGCCAAGTTGTACGAAAGGAACCGGGCCAGTCGAAGGAAGAGGGTTAAGTCCAAGTACGAGGACCATCCCACGGTGAAGGCGGCCAAGACAGCAAAAGAGAGGCGAGCTGCCTTAAACAAGCTCTATGCCTCAAAAAAAAAAGGCCCTTCAGTCGACTGCGATGAGGCGGAGGCCCCTCCACTCCTCGATGCCGTGAAGGAAGAGAGGGTGAAGAAGGAGGTTGTCGTCAAACAGGAAACTGGTTTGCCTTGCGTCACTGGGGATGGGAGTTTTTTATTTAAAGGTTTTTGTCCTGCATCGATGAAAGCGACAAGAAATCAATTCAGGAGGAGTTTTCGGATGCAGAAGACGAGAACATCCCCATCCAGTGCCCCATGTGTGCAGAGCCTTTGCAGCAGCATCATCAGTTCAGGTCCCTCCCAACCACCCTTGCTACTCACCAGGGCTCATTCCTGCCCGCTCGGCTACTGCTCAGGAAGCTGCCCAAGCTCGTGCAGAAAGCGTGGCTTTGAGGGAGGAGCTCGGGTCCCTCCGCTCAGAGAAAGACGCCTTGGAGAAGAGCGCAGCAAACCTTCAAACTCGTCTCGCCATTGCTGAGCGCCAAGTGGTTTGGTACGAAAATGTTCGTGACTGGGTGAGTGCTGACATAGAGTCACGCCTGGGCCGTGGCCATGACTCTGAGGTCATTCCTGATTGGCTGGTCGTACAAGGTAGGTCCATTACGGAACTCATTGCTAAAAGCCGTGGTTCATCTTGCCGATAACCCAAGCAAGAATCTTCTCAACTATTCTTCAGGACTCAAATTCAGTGAGGCACCTTTCACGATCTTGTTGTGGGTCATCTGTAGTATTGTTTCAAGAGTATCGGGTTCTTCATACTCCCATCGATGGGGCCGGGCCATAAAAAGGAGCGTTGCAGTGCTTTGTCAGCCAGAAGTGAAACATTGTTTTTGCAGAGTTTCTCCTGCCCTTGGCAGGTACAGGGCCATTCCATTCGTCGATGCTGCAGATTTGTGGAAAAGAAGGGCTGCTCTTGTTTCTCTTGCGTTCCTGAGATTTGTGCAACAACCCGCCCGACCACTAACCCACCTCGAAACCCCGCAGGCTTCGCAGAAGTTCGCTGTGCCTTTTTGGGTTCGCAATAGGTTCGTCTCATTTTTGTGCTGGCCCCCCAAGTTACCGACCCCCTCTGTTTTACCCTCACTCAAGACCCTTTCTCAGCACCTGGTGGCACGAGGCAAAATTCCACTTAGAGTCGCTGAAATCGCCCGAGCCCTGAGGGCCTTGGTTAGGGCGTTATGTTGCTTTGGGCTTTACAGGGTTTGGGGAGGCATTCGTTTCACTATTTTAGATTGGTACCGGGAGGTCGCCGGGGTGAAATTAGGTAGGGCTTAGTTGGTGGTGCCTTTGTTGCAGCCTCCCTCTCTCTCTCTCTCCCCCTCTCCCTCCCTGTCTCTCTCTCTCTCTCTCTCTCTCTCTCTCTCTCTCTCTCTCTGTGTCTGTGCCTCGCCTATTTAGGTCTCTGTGCAGTCGGTATGTGCAAAACATTAGGGTTTTTGAGCTTGCATCATGCGATCCCTTCTTAAGGAGCAATGTGGCCTTCTCAGCTCGTCCAGGTCACGGTTGTGGTTAAGGGCTCTCGCTTGCTGGTTGGCTGGTCCATAGTGCTTACCATTGCGTCCTTCGAAGCTGCTCCAGGTTCCAGCGCCTGTTTGAGGAGTTGACGTGACCTGAGCCGGTGAAGGGCTTTGGCGTTGTCGGAAAGAGTCGTGCAGCATCGGCTGATTGTCAAGGCTCGTAAGAGTGCTCAATCCTAGTCCCTCAGTCTCAGCCCCAAACCCCAAAGTCTTGGCAACGTCAGGTACATCCACGAACTCCACGAGTTCGACATCGTTGCCTACCTTGGGCCTTTCCTGGAGGCACGATGGCCCGAACCTGACCTGAGCATCCCTTGACCCATACCAAACCGAGGCCCACACCCTCGAGCCTTCACAAGCCTACGAGCGACCATCCAAATAAAAGTACAGAAGCTTGAGTAAGGGATGGACGTCAGCTTCTGATTGGGGAGCAAAAGTTACAGAGCACAGTGATTGCAAACCAATGCGCAGCCAGGATTGCGCACTATAAGCATTCATCGAAAAACTCAGCCGCAGGTACGATGACTTCGTGTCCGAAATAATTTTTGACA